ATGCAACTTATAACATCCAAGTGAAAGATAAAACTCCAACATGTCAGGAAAAAAATAAAAAACAGAATCACTGAGTTGGAAAAAGGATCAGCCCCTCCTAAAAATGGCTTGTAAACTCAATTAGGTGTAGCTCATCACCTTCTCAATGGCACACAAAGCAGTTTGACTTTCAACGGTGATCAGTTGTGCTCATTTTGATCAGCTCAGCATGAAAAGAGCTTTCCTGGAGCATTTCAGTCCTCGGTAGAGCAACTGAAGCAAACAATCAACTATGAGTGGCAAGGCACTGTCAAAAGATCTCCGGGATAAAGTTTTGGACAGACACAAGTCAGGAGATGGAGACGAAAACATTTCAAATGTTTCATCAATGTCTAGAACAGGGGTGCCCAACCCTGCTCCTGGCGATCGACTGTCCTGCAAAGTTTAGCTCCAACTCTAATCAAAGACACCTGCCTTTAATTTTCAAGTGATCCTGAAGACCCTAATTAGTTGCTTCAGGTGTGTTTGATTAGGGTTGGAGCTGAACTTTGCAGGACAGTCGATCGCCAGGAGCAAGGTTGGGCACCCCTGGTCTAGAAGCACAGTGAAGTATATTATTAAGAAGTGGAAGGTATTTGGTAAAACACAGAGCCTCCCTGGATCAGGACGTCACACCAAACTGGAAGTAAAACCGGAGGAAACTGATCAGAGAGGCGATCAAGAGCTACAGCAACTCTGAAGCAGCTGCAGGAGTTTATGACAAAGAGTGGCCAATACAGCTCACATCCAAATAACAGCATTCCTGCAGTAAAGCATGGAGCTGGTGAGGTCCTGTTATGGGATGTTTCTCTGCAGCAGGACTGGAGCACTCGTCAGGATAGAAGGAAAAATGGACGGGGCAAAATACTGTCAAATTCTTGAGGAAAATCTGACACATATTGGTTGAAGGAGAAAAAGCTGAATGTCCTGCATGGCCTCGTCAGCCCAGACTGAAACCCCACTGAAAATCTGTGCAATGACTAGAAGACTGCAGTCCACAAACACTCACCATCAAACTGAACTGAACTTGAGCAGTTCTGCAAAGAAGAGCGGGCAAATATTGCAAAGTCTAGATGTGCAAAGTTAGTAGAGACACATCTCAACAAACTAAAGGCTTTAATTAAAGCAAGGGGGGGGGGGGGGATCCTCTAACCAACTCAGTGATTCTGATTTTAAATTTTTTTCTGACGTGATGTTTTATCTTTCACTTGGATGTTATAAGTTGCACTGAGTAAATACAGCTGGATAAAACAAAAACTGTCTGTCTTCATTTCAGGCTGCAAAGCAACAAAATGTGATTATTTTAAAAGGGGACTGATTCTTTTCTATAACCACTGTTTATAGAGCTTTATACAATACTGATTGTGTCAAAGCAGCTTTATAGTATTAAACAAGAAAATAGTTAGTCAATAATGCAAGAGGACAATAGAAAACGGTCAATTTATCAGTTCAAGTTAGTTGATTCAGTGATGTCATCGTCCAGCTCAGTTCAGTTCAAATAGTATCAAATAGCAGTCAAGTCAACTGTGTTGCCAGAAATTAAGCGTCCCCAACTAAAAAAGCCAGAGGCGAAAGCGGCAAGGAACCAAAACTCCATCGGTGACAGAAATGGAGAATAAACCTTTGGGAGAAACAGGCTCAGTCAGGGGGCCAGTTCTCCTCTGGCCTGACGAAACCAGCAGTTCAATTCCAGGCTGCAGCAAAGTTACATTGAGCAGAGGACTCATCTGGTTCCTGTGGTCTTGTCCCGGTGGCCGTCTAGGAGACAAGGTCTTCACTGGGGATCTGTCTCTGGGGCTCATCTAGTTGTCCTGGTCTCCGCTGAGATTGACACACTATTTTCCTAATTAATGCTGTTCAGTTGCTTTGACACAATCTGTATTGTTAAAAGCGCTATATAAATAAAGGTGACTTGACTTGAGATTCAGGGCTGTAGAGGTCCTCTCTAGGTGCTGATCCACCATCTGGGCTGGATACGTACTGGATCCGGGTGACTGCAGTAACCATCTGATCTGGATACTGTCACCGGTCGTGGTGCGGAGGAAGCACACGGAGAGGAAGGAATCCACGATAGAGTCTTTAATTATCCAAACATGAACAAAACACTTTGAAACTGAGGGAGACCACAACCACAATACAACTTTAACGCAAGACAAGGGAACTGAGGAAAGCACAGGGTATATAAACACATGGAACGTAATTAGGGAGAACAGAAACAGGTGAGGAGTAATCAATCAAAACAGGTGAACAGAATAAACGATGATTAACCAAATAGGGGCAATCAGAAACTAAACAGAAACAAACATGTGACAGATATTGCCCCCCTCCGAAAAGCGCGACCTCGCGCCACATAACATCGAGGGGTGGGAGGGTGGGCACCTTGGAGGTCCCACAGGACAGGCTTGGACCGGATGCCTCCAAGGTGGTACCGGATCCGGGTCCCATGGCGGAGCAGGCAGCTCGGCGAGCCATGGCGGAGCAGAGAGTTCAGGTTGCCATGGCGGAGCTGGTAGCTCAGGAGGCCATGGCGGATCCTCCGTGGCCTTAGCCAGCTCGGCCACGGGTATATGGCCCCCCCAAAAAAAAAATCTTGGGGAAAACTAGGAATCTTGGGGGGCGCTCTGGAGGAGCGGGCACCTGAGTGCGCTCTAGAGAAGTGGGCACTTGAGGGCGCTCTGGACGGGATTCAGGGACTAGAGCCCTCCTTGGGCTAAACACAGGGACAGGAGCCCTCACTGGGCAAAACTGGGGAACAGGAGCCCTCCGTGGGCTAAAGTCGGGGACAGGAGCCCTCCGTGGGCTATACTCGGGAACTGGAGCCCACTCTGGGCTGGTTTCAGGGACTGGGAAGCGCTTATGAGGAGCTGGCACTGGAGGGTGCTCTGGAGGAGCAGGCACAGCAAGGCGCTTTCGAGGAGCGGGCACTGGAGCGAACTCAGGGGCTGGAGTCGACACTGGAGCGAGCTCTGGGGCTGGAGCCGACACTGGAGCAATCTCTGGGGTTGCAGCCGACACTGGAGTGCGCCTAGGGACCAGAACAAACCGCCTTCTCCTCCTCAGATTCCCCTCTAGGCTCGGGGTGAAAGGCGTGGCTCGCAGGCTTGCCATAGCGGTGACCGGCAGGCTTGGGTCAATGGCGGTCGGCGGGCTTGAGAGAGCTGCGGCCGGCGGGCTTGTCTTCGAAGCGGCAGTTTCCATGCCGCGGGGGAAAAACGGGAAAACAAATACTATTCAAAAAAGGCGGAAAACAAACACGGGGGAAAAGACGCGGCTTACTTTCAGCTTTATGGTCTTGCGTTCTGTCACGGATCGTGGTGTGGAGGAAGCACACGGAGAGGAAGGAATCCATGATAGTGTCTTTGATTATCCAAACAAGAACAAAACACTTTGAAACTGATGGAGACCACAACCACGATACAACTTTAACACAAGACAAGGGAACTGAGGAAAACACAGGGTATATAAACACATGGAGCGTAATTAGGGAGAACAGAAACATTAATCAATCAAAACAGGTGAACAGAATAACCGATGATTAACTAAATGAGAACAGGAACTGAACCAAATAGAGGCAAACAGGAACTAAACAGAAACAAACATGTGACAGATACAGACTGGATCTGGTGGCTACGGTGACCTCGGAATAAGAAAGAAACAGACTAATATTAGTGTAAATGTCATTCTTCTAACGCTGTAGCAAGTACATTGGGTGTTATTGGAAGTGTTCCCGGTTCCGGTTGTCCTAATTAATGCAGCCTAAAAATCCTTTAACGGATTTGAATATTAGAAATGTGTTAGTGTGTTATGTGTAAGCCAGGTTAAAGAGATGGGTCTTTAATCTAGATTTAACCTGACAGAGTGTGTCTGCCTCCTGAACAATGTTAGGTAGGTTATTCCAGAGCTTGGTCGCTAAATAGATAAAGGATCTGCCGCCCGCAGTTGATTTTGATATTCTAGGTATTATCAAATGGCAAGAGTTTTGAGATCGCAGCGGACGTGGAGGACTATAATGCGATATGAGCTTGCTCAAGTATTGAGCTAGTTAATGTAAAAAGGTGATCTGATGAAGACTAGTTTATTCACTTTATATGCTTCAGACATCCACAAAACATCAACATTTCACATCATTATTGGGTGCTTTAATAATATAATGTGTACATCATTGTGTGATTACGTAAACAAACTGGTGAATCATTATTTGAAACAGTTAATTGAAACAAATTGTCTAAAAGAACTGTTCTACTGAGGAAAAAAAGCCATCTACATCTTAGATGGTCTGAGTGAATAAATTAACAGCCAATTTTCATTTTTGGGTGAACTATCCCTTTGAGCTGCAGTATATCAAAGAAGGAGCCAGCGCTGTTTAAATAGTTTAAGATTAACTTTAGTATTTCATGGCATTTACTGCAGTTTTCTCATTTAAAGTGAATCCCTGCTGTTCTATCCCACAGATGATGGTTTAATTAGCAATAGCTCAAGGAAAGGATATTTTATCCAATGAAACAGCATTAGCGTTTATGTAACGTTTTTCTTGATGGTCATGTAATATGTTCACACTGCTTTTGATGTGTCTCCATGCGGGACTCTCTGCTGATGGCTTCTAATGCACCTTCAGGGAGCGCAGCACCAACAGAGCAGCTGTACAGTCGTGTTCACAACAAAGACCCCACCACTGTATTCAGTCCAGTCCTGCATTACACATGCTGTAGGGAGCGCAGGCTCACTGGACAAATACAATGACCAGAGACGCAATGAAAGCAGGAGGATATAAATAGGCCATGCTGAATAACACTATCTTACTCTAACAGTTGAAGATAACTCAGATTACAACCAGGGGCGTAGAAGTAATTTGTGAGAGGGACAGAATGTTCAGCTCGAAAAACGTTGACAAAGTGACTATGTTTTTATAGCATGACTGTATTGTCTCAGGTCAGGGGTGGCAAATCCTGAGAATGTTTCCCTGTTTTTATTGTCATGTGCAGGAAACCGAAGAAGATGGAGAAGAATGGTACAAATTGTGGAGAAGATGCCATGAGGTCTTTTAAAAAGACCAACACTGCTGCGGTGGGCACAAGGAGCGTGTGAAACCCAAAGGAAATATTTCCAGCTAATCATGAAGTCAATGAGGTCGGAATAATGCAAAGCGATCCAGAGCCCCTCCGGATGCAATTAGAAGGGACAGGGCTGCTGTGTTGATCTGCATCAGTGACATTTGCATGCTAGTTCGGTAAAATCACACAAACCCAGCTAATGACAGATGTCTGACAAATAGATTTCATATAGTCGTTCATTCAACACATGTCATGTATTTTTAAACACATTTTACACAATGATTTATGCAACTTGGACTGGGAATTTCTGAAATGTATTTTCTGAAACTAGGGGTGTGTAATGTCATGACACAGGTCAGATGTTTTCAGCGCATGACACTTTGGATATTTCCAGTCGGTTATCTCCTCAAGGCTAGAACACTAAATGAGCTACTAATGTACCTTGTAAATGATAGTAACTGAAGGCAGAGCGGCCATCTGAACAGACTGAAAGCACTCGGCTGTGTTGTGATTACATGTTAGGTTAGGGTTAAGCAGCAGACGAGTTTGATGCACTTATAAGGGTGGGAGGATGTTTTATGACCCTTAATCCAGGAAGGTCATAATTAAGATAATTACTGATGTTGTTGACCTTGCTGGTGTGACAGACAGCGTGAATTGGATCTGTTAGAGCAGTGGATTTGGATTTGTTGTTCTTGTGTCTGTGGAACCTGCCTTTCTGAAAAAAGTGCCCTAAGAAAAAGAGATTTTCTTTTGCACTGTGAAGAGTGCTGAATATATTCTCAGCAGGCAGTCAAAATATATTTTATGTATAAAGTGTTATATAAATTATGCATGAATGTAAATACTGAGAACGGAAACCAGCCTTTACGACTGTTATTTGCTTGCATATGTTTTTATATAGTAGAAACTCTAATTTTGTCTTGTCAGTGAAAGGCTCTAGGTTGGTAACAGTAAATGAAAGGAGTTACATTATTGAACACCATATCCGACAGTCTTTGTTGTAGATGTGCAAAGCTGCATTTAATAAATCCACTAGTTGGTGGGAAGCCTGAACAGTTATGAAGCCTTGTTTAAATAGAGGTTAGGGTCTCAAGATGCATTTTCAAAAGCTTTTAATATGCACAGGATACTGAAAAACAGTGAGATGTGGCACAATTATGGCCAGTCGTCATGTTGTATGTTTCAGAGTTACACAGTCTAATTCAGTAATGTTGCTTTTAATTATATTTTGAAATCAGTCCTGTCACAATGATGTACAGCTAGAGCAACCAGATATCTGCAGTGTCCCCTCAGTTTACTAAAAACATCAATCAGCTGTTGAAGCATCAATGTGTCTAGCTCGTGCCTCGTGCTTCTTAATAACACGACGCTCTTTCTTTGACATTCATTCCATTTGTCAGTACTTCTATTCTAGAATGTCTTTGAGCAAATCAGCTTGTTGCCATGACAATATGTTGACCTGTCAGATGACCTTCAGACAGCAAAGCACAGGAGACATTGTGACATGTGGAATTACATTTAATGGTTTTGAGTTCCAATGTTGTGAATATTGTGTTTAAGAATGATTTGATGGCATGTACAATTACGCCTTTAACTGTAAATTCACTTTTAAATATAAAAATATATATTTATATATAAATAAAGAAAAATAAAATAAAATAAATATATATATATATAAATTAATTTGGGGAGGATTTTGAATAAGGAGAAACCCGTGGGTCCTCAATTTTGTTGACAGATTTCAGCAATCCAGAAGGACTGCAGTTGCAGCAGAAGCCATGGAAGAACTTTTGGTCGGACTCTGAGATGGATTGTGTTGGGGAAGACTCCTGACTCCTGTAAGTCTAGACTGGTTATATAGTCAGGAGGTGCAGGGAACATTTTGAGGATCTTCTGAACCCTGAGGACGTGCCCTCACAAGAAGAGGCAGGGTTGGAGGACTCTGGTTTCCTTGTCAGAAGATAAAAAGCTTTGAAGTGTCGAGGTGCTGGTAATGGACGAGATTCGCTCTGAGATACTGAAGGCCATTGCCTGTCCGGTATACATGTGTTTTGTGGACTTGGAGAAGACTTACGACCATGTTCCTCAGGGGGTCTTGTGGGGGCCACTATGGGAGTATGGGGTAATGGGGCCGCTTTTGTGCGCCATCCGGTCCCTATACATCCAGTGGGAGAGATGTGTCTACATTCTCTGTAGTAAGTCAAGCTTTTTCCCAGTGAGTATTGCACCCTTCCAAAGCTGTCCCTTGTCTCCGATACAGTTTGAGGTATTCATGGACAGTATCTCAAGGTACAGTCGAGGGGTGGAGTCCAGTGTAGGGGCCTTAACGTGGCATCAGTGCTATTTGTGGAAGATGAAACTTGAAACAAGATGGTGCCATGCATGGCTGCTTCGGTTTGTAGCTCCTTGGTACTTTTACTATTTTTGTTTCTTTGTCCTGTTTTAAGTAACTTTTTTCCGATCAGATTTACTAGGGACGAACTCCTAGACATCAGATATAGCACACCAAATAAATTTTTGCTGACTTTTGAACATTCAGACGTTTTACTGGACATTCTAGTCGGAGGAGCTGCGTTCCTATACAAGTGCTGCAAACGAGGGAAGCGCACTGGTGCGCTCGTGAAATTCCGACAGCGCGGATTTAGGACTCCGCTGCTGAGCATTCGTCTGTCAAATCTCCATTCCATAGCAAATAAAACAAACGAACCACTACTCCTCAGCCGCACAAACATTAACTTTTTAAACTCTGCTGCACTTTGCCTCACAGAAACTTGGTTGACTGGAGCCATCCCGGACAACGCTTCATCTAACGGGCTTCCAGCTGTTCAGAGCGGATCACATCACCAAGATGTCGGGGAAAACGAGAGGCGGTGGATTATGCTTTTATATCAATGAAGGCTGGTGTACAGACTTAACAGTTTTAAAGATAAAGAACCCTGCAACAGGAGGTTGTCCAAATGAAGGCCAAAGGGATGGTCACTGCAAGAGAAGCTGGTCATTCCACATCTGTGATTTCTAGAATATTGCAGCTTTACAATGACACTAATTCAAGTCCCCCTAAAAGGCTGGTCGTCCACGTAAGACAAATGCATGAGAAGTAGGGATGTACCGATTAACCGTGAGCGGGTTGAAAATTGATCACTGCTGTTCATAAGCGCAGCTCTGCTTTGTTTACAGCGGTGTTAATAAAAATAACAATTGGTCCCTCGATATCTCTTTGCCGCCTTGAAGAATTCTCAGTTCCTTAAAGTGTAAATACGGCCGGGAAGCAAGAAAACACACATTCAAATGTATTCTCAATACTTCAATTTATTCATAGATACAAAGATATTATATAGGCATATGTTGAGGGGAGTTTCACCCTCTTAACCAATGAGGATACTAATGACATACACATATAGGATCTTTGGCCAAGTACATGTGTTTATATAAAATGGCCACATGTACAGAAAAACATGGA